GCAAAGAAGCGCACTTTTATGGATAAGTTAGCAAAGATTGGAACTTTCAAAGACCTACATGGTACATATGCAATTGACATAAGTAGCAGCGAAGTGCATAGATATTATAGCAGGAGTCAAGTGCCATAAATAGAAGTTTGAGAACCGAAAAATCACACCAACTGCCCTACCAGCAATTGGGATGTCTTACATTCACATCAAGCTTGGAAGGAAAAAGACACCATCATAAAGTGCACGAACTGAAAAGAGTTGTTCGAATTTGCAGGACCCTGATAGAATTTATAGCAGTTGGGTTACAGAGCAATAACACATTCAACAACTACAGATCCTAACTGCATTCGTTTCAACCTATAAAAAGAATGTACCTAACCTAAAAGAAACACATTTCAAGAGTGCAAAATCTGTTATGAAGTGGCCGGTGAAACAGTCGTCGCCACTCCTAATAGAGAACAAACAAACGATTTAAACAAATATGCAGGTGAACATGAACCTTAGAAAGGAATCAGATCAAGAGAGGTAGCTGACCAACCTAGTAGGTTCCGCATGTTGCTTCGCAAGCTCAACGGGCAATAAAGTTTCCTAAGAATTTGAGATCAATTCCTTTGCCACAGAGCTCGTTGTCCGAACCTCCTTTGAAAGCGAACGAAGAAACCCCCTGACAAAAGAAAGAATGAAAACGAAACCATCAAGAAAAGAGAGTAAACAAACTAACCACAGAGAGAGAACCATCACTTGAAATCTAAAAGCGTTGTGGAAACTGGAGATTAGTTTCTTCTCCACACTACCGCTGAACCTCACAAATCCGGCATTTGTGCTTAAAATAGGCACCCATCTCGAAGGAAGAGAACATAAACACTCATACAAAATCAGAAAGAGAGAGTGGAATGAGAATAAAAACAAAATTGGAATTCTTCTCCACACCATAACTGAAATTCTGAAATGAAACACCAGCGGAGTCCATAGCTAAAGGAAAGGAGAGTGAATCATTTTGAAAACATAGAGTTGTCAGGCCACCTAACTGTTGGTTTGAGGAGTAAATCAATTTGAAAACATACCAATTAATAACCAATTAGTTAGTGGCTGCAAACAACCTTTATAAATTACATATAAGGTACATGAAAACAATAAAATTAACACAATTGAATATATGAATTATTTACTAACTCAACAACTCTTTGGGAATTGAGAGCAGGCAATCTGGCATTTATCATTTGATCAAACTTCACCAATTATCTAGTAGCTATGGTAAATCTATTTATTTTTTTCCACATGGTTGCTTGCTAAAGATCATTCAAATTATTTAACATCATGAAAACTTAAAACTGGGGTTGTAGGAACCAAAGTTTCATACCGTTATAGGAAAACAAATACCTGGCTGTAACATGACCTTCTCCTCCTCATCCTAGAATAACAATATTCAGCTCTAGTCCTCTCAATTGCATATGCAACTCATTCCCTATTTGTACAGCAAAACTCTGGCAAAAAGGAACAAAAAGAACCGAGACCACATTAGAGAACAGAACATGTAAAGGGAATAAAAGAAGAAGTTACAGAAGAACAAACCTCAATTAATCATAATGAAGCAATGCACACGCAAGTTGAGTTGTGCATCGCTATACCTCCTAATCCACAGTTCCATGTACCCTTGCTGCCACATCAGAACAGACAGGCTACAAACTGTAGAGCAAAGCATATGGGCAACCATAAATCCATAGGCACAAACAAAACCCAACTATAAAATCTATAATGTTAGGGACCATTATAAGCAGAATGTGTTTCCACACTGATAGCGGTCATTATAATCTATACTTCTAGCACAACCAAAGAAAAGTAAAATGATCACTGTGATTAAAAATGGGTTTGCTCCAAATCTAGATCGCCACAACCCAACCAGTTTGACATCGGCTTCTGCTTCCCTAACATGCTTGCTACTGAAAAGCTTGCTTAGGTTCCTTCTACCCTCCCCGACAACAGATGTAGATCAAACATATTGTAAGCAATGTACTGCAACAACTGAAAGAGGACACCGTAAGTAAAAACCCTCACCAGATCCCAATATACAGGCGCGCAAAAGAAGGAAATAATGCAACCAAAACAAAAAGCGAAACTAACCCGAACCACTTTGGTGCCTCTATCTGTCGTGCTTCAGAGGGGATAACCGGTGTATCTGCCGATTGAATTCTCCAACATCCTAGCATTTGGATATAAACGTAAATAAATTTGTATGAAGGGTCATACAAGAGAGCTTACAATAGCAAACAAAAAGGCAGCTAAACTCGTTAACTGGCCACCTGACTAATTAATCGAGGAAGATTAGACCTCTCATTTTCTAACTCCAACACTAATTAAAACAAGATTCCAAATGAATTTGGATCAAACATAGTTCATCTTCATTTTGTGTAAAAGCTGGTTCACTTACTCCTTCCATGATCTGCGAACCCTATGGTCCTTTTTCTTCTTGAGTGATTCTCCCACTCCGGCCATGATCTGGTTGCATTGTCGTTCCTTCGGTAAGAAATAATGGACAAAAGTATGAACCAAACCCAGAAATACAGTGAAAATCAAAATCTAAACCCAAACCAGAAAGTGAAAAAGAAGTCTGAAAGCAAAAATCAATGAGAGTGAATTCCAGTAAAATAAAACAACTGATAAAAAGGGCTGACATAGCAAAAGAGATGAATTAAGGAGCTAACCTTGTCACTAAACTGCAAGTAGAAGAGAGTTCTGGTCAGTTTCGTGCGGCAGATTGGGCATGTTTCTCTTTCAAGACATCTTCTGACCTACACTCCTCCGATGGCTCGGCTGACATTGATTCCAGACCTGCAGAAGATTAAACTGAGTGCCTTCATGACAAATGGAACCTTGCTAGTTGAAATGTCGAAGTCATGAACATCAAGTACTGCCATTTTTCTCCCACTACAGCAAGTACACAAACAAAAGTTCAGAAAAGGGGCAGCACACTGTAAATCAATACCGCAAGGATCTTAGAACCCTAGCCGAGCCAACCTCTAAGAGCGCTGACAAAATTCTATCATTAATTAGACCCTATGGACCCAGCATACGCAACAGAAAATGGTGTTAACCGCTAGAGCTCACAATGACATATGCATTACAAAGCGATTAATTGCTGGCGAAAGGTGGTGGAATCGAAGCTTAGAATGAAAATAAAAAACTTGAAAGGTGTTGATTGGAGCTGCAAAGAACAGTCATGCAGATGAGTTTACATAAAATGGTAAGCGGTTACCAAGCGAGTGATTGGCAGTGAAAAGGAGACCATGGTAAAATGACAATCTTTGGGTGTTGATCTCTAGTACAAACACAAACGACGACATCAAGATAACACGGGAACAGAAACTAAAAATCAAGGGAGAAACTTTGACTGATGACACACAGTGCTCAAGTTAGGTTACGTGTACAGTTTAAAGCAGGCAAAATCTGTACTATCTAGACAGAACCAGCAAAATGAAGAGAAATATAAAGCGATTACCTGCAAGGGACCGTGTACGGAATTGGCCGGGGCTAAGCTCCTTTCACCTCTCGGTTACCCGCATCCTCCCTGGCTATTAATGTCGTCTCCCCTGTCGGTGCTTGACATTTCCAGAGAAGGGGCTGAGGAGACCCACCCCAAGTCGACTTATTACTCCTTAGCTGCACGGATGCAAAGGGAACATATAGTTAAACCTGCAACACAGAAGAAAAAACCCATTCACTTTTCATCCCCGTGATGGATTAATAGAAGTATGCAACATCAATGGCTAATATCAATGAGAACTTTTATGAAATGCATTCTGCTCTCTAGCTCTGAAATCATCAATCCCCAGCACTTTTGTCCGTGTGAACTCACAAATACGCAGCTCAGCCTGCTGGAGATGCAAAACAGTATGCAGGAAGCAACTTCCTTCCTCAAACTCCTCTTTAAGGCCTGCTCCTTTACTGTGGGCAAGAAGAAACAAAGAAAAGGGGGGAAAAAGATCTGAATAAGTAAAAAAATGAACTCAACAACACAAAGAACAACATCATCCATGATGAAACAATGACTGCAATTGAACAAAATTACTTGTTGGTATCTATAGTTTTCAGAATGCACCCTATAGACAGCAAAATGCATATGTAAAGCAGATGTAAGTTTGTATTAGCTAAAGCGAAACTTCATGACACTTACAGATTGCTGCAGAACTATAAGGTGGTCTTGCATCTAAATAAAAAAATGAACCCATATATTGTCAAGAAAAATAAACTCAGGGTTGTTTTCTCCGATTCATTCATGATGCAAGGCTTTTTACTAAATTCTGAAAGAATTCGAAACACTCAATAAAACCATTTTACGATGAAAAATTGTTGGTCAAGCGATGAAAGATTGAGAAAAATAACTATTGTACCCAGCTGCTTCAGCCATCAAACCATCATAATCACCACTGTGGTATACCACAAGTCCAAGCTGGTGGCACAAATAAGCTGACATGAATAAACTCTAAAACCACATAAACAAACTAATTAAACACAAATATAATTCCTTCCTACCACAACGTTATGGCAGAGGTAAGGGAGAGCTTCACAAACCCACCAAGCGACCTGAAAGCCTTCCATGAAAACCCAGTCCCAGCTTTAAGGATATAAGCAGAAACCATATTAATCTTGAACCAACATAAAAAAGAAGTTACCTTGCACTCGGTAAGTGAGGTCTGCAGAGGGTCTTTGAAAATGACCGGTGTAGAATCATCGGCGGACAATCCTCCTATGGGCAAGTTTGCTGCCGACGTGGTTTCGAGGCCGATGAATTCATTGAGAAAACCAGCTGTCCTAGTTTTTTCATCAAATAGCATTCTGAGATGACGGAGAAATAAAGACACAGGATGAGAGTTGGAACACAAAATCAATCATTTAACCAATCAAAACAAACTCCGTGGCATAAACTAAAACCCAAAAAAAGAATACAATCAAAATCAACGGCAGTCCAAAAACTAAAAACCTTAAAAAGAACCAAAGAACGAACACAATTAGAACCAACTGCATATCATAAACGAAAACCCAAAACCCCAAAAGAACCAAAGAATGAGCACAAATAGAGTGTAGTGTAAAAACTGACCATGTTACAAATAATAAGGTGGACGATCGTCCTATCCTGACCAAGCTCGTCGCCGACAAGACCTGAGCAAGCTCGTCGCCGACATGATTTTTGCCTAATGAATCCACTGAGAAAAGCAACATTTCTTGTTTTATTACCAGGTCACCAACGCAAAGAGAGAAATAGAAAATGAGAGGCGGAAGAAGGTACTTGAGGCCGGGAGAGCAAGATCGATATGGTACTTTTCTCCTCAGTACCCTTCTTCTTCCTCTGTCTCTCCTTCCCTTGTTTTCTTCCATCACAGCGCCTCGCTACAATCTCCATCGCTACCATCATCATCCCCCATCGGCTTTGTGCTCTCGCCGCCCGCCTCTGTTCGGTGTTGCCGGGTGCACCCTAAACCAACCCATCACCTCACCGTTGTTGTAACGCCGGAACGCCCCTACAATCCACCATCGTTGCACTTGTAGTCAGCGCTGATCGCTATGGAAGGAGGAGAATACGAAAGTGAAGGTGGGTTACTTCTGTAATTTTTTTCTTCTTCTTTGTGTGGTAGCGAGAGCTAGGTCGGTGAGAAGAGATGAGAGAGAAGAAGAAAATAGAAAAGGGAGAAGTTTGTGTGGCTGGGAAGAGGAGGAAAGAATGAAAAGAAACAAAAATTGCAAAAAGATCCTCAGAGTTTCCCCTAGGTCCAAAATGGTCATCATTGTCCTTGTGATATGATGCAAGGGTGCAAAACTCGTTATCGCCTCAAAATTCGCCAATACGGAAGCAAAGCCAAGTGGGCGAGTTCTGACCAAATTCACATCGATCCAACCCATCAATTAAAAAAGTGTACAAAACTCGTCCTCGACCCAAAATTTGTCAACATTGGGTCAAATTAGATAAAAGACCCATTGATTCAGGTTCAAATTGGGTAATTGGCACAAAAAGAATTAGTTAGAACAGTTGACAAAATGACTGAGATTAATGAGTAACAATTTTGAATAATTAAATAATCATAGTTGACGGGACACTAAGAAACAATGCCTCATCTTATAAGGTCGACATTAGGTCAAATACCCAACGATTTAAGTGAAAAACTCATTCTTGCGTCAAAATTCACCAACAAAAGGTTCAACTCGCTTTAACCAGGTCAAAGTAGTTTGAATACCCATTGATTTGGATTCAATTGTCATAAGCTAACTAATTAGAACCTCTATGGCACTAAAAATCTTCCAATCTTCAATGATTTAAGAGTGCAAAACTCAATTACTAAAGCGAATAAAACTCGTTGCTGACACTAAATTCATCAACACTGGATTGATCTCGCTTTGACTGGATTGATATAGCTAGGAGAGTTTTTAACAAAAAATTCACACCCGACCCAACCCATCAATTACAAAAGCAAGTAAATGTGTCCCCCGCCTCAAATTTGTCAACATTGGATTCAACTTGCTTTGGCCGGCTTGATAAAGCAGGGTGAGTTTTTAACGAAATCACATCCGATCGAACAAAAGCGGGTAAAATTCATTCTCGACCCAAAATTCGGCAACACCGGGACCGGGCCAAAATTCGTTGAATATAATTAGTAACAAAAGCCACACCCGACCCAAAATTTGGTACAATTTGTCGCGGACCAAAAATCCGGCAACACCGATGCCGGGTCGAATTATTAGTTTGAACATACATGAATTTGGTTTCATTTGTCATAAAGAGAAAACATTTAAAACATGTAGTTTGTTCTTTTAAAGAGATAATAATAATGTTCTTTGATATGATTAATTTGCAAGACTGACACAACGAACAAAATGGTTAAATGACGCTATAAACATCCAATCCATAAAGTCTCCAAAACCATTTGCAAGGCCGATATAGTGAAATCTTTTGGTAAAATGACTCTTTACCTAAGTGTAAAAACCATTTGCAAGGTGGAGACAAAATAAAAAATAGTAAAACGACCATAACTGTGATCGATAAGCGAACGAAAGGAAAAAATAAACTTGCTCGACCTAAAATTCGTGAATATCGAGTTCAACTTACTCTATTGATTGAAGCGTGTAAAACTCGTTTACCCGGGTTCAAGCCATTGTAAAGACAATCGAACAAAAATTTATGATGGGACACTATTGATTTGGGTGCAATTAGGATTCAATTGTCATAAGTTAATTTATTGGACCCATTGATTTGGGTGCAATTAGGATTCAATTGTCATAAGTTAATTAATTAGAATCTTAATAACATAAAATTAAATAATTGGAACCTTAATGGCATAAAATCCCTTCAAACCTTTGGTTAATTACAAAGTGATCATGTTTGTGATGGGACACTATGCAATAGTGTTTTGTTACTTGTTCTTTTATAGATATAATAATAATAATTGGAACTTGAACACCCAACTCTTTCTCGATTAGAAATCTCTTCTTATGCCGCTTGTCTCTTCAATCAACTTTAATTATCAGCTCTCCCTTCTGCTGTATCTTTGAAAATCATCTCCGATCTTTGTTACATCAACATTAGCAATCAATCTTTAAAGGTGGAGAACAATCAATTTTAAAACAACCATACCAACACAAAGTGGACAATTTCATAACAAAAAGAGAAAGAAAAAACAAAGTCAACCAAATTCCTCCATAGCCATTCTCCAATCCCAGTGTCCATAGTGTGCATGAACTGTACAATGAGTGACCTTAATAGTGACATCATCAATCCAAATTCTTAGTGTTAAAGAAGTTTTTCAGCAGAAAATCCTAATTTACACCGTGAAGGATGAAACAAAAAAAAAACAAAAAATTTCGCACAATCCACATTGCCCCTAGTGAAGAAACACCATAATATTGGAATTCAGTAAGAAAATAATATCCAGATGAATCTTACCTAGAAACCAGGCCGAGACCACAACGCTACTATCCCCCATCAAACCGGAGAAGACCCCTTTCGAGGCCTTACATGCCCCCAGAGTCCAGATCTGGCTAAGACAACGACATGCAAGGCAGTCCCGCTTGAGTTTCTGTTGGCTTTTCTTCGCTTTCTTCTTCGATTCAGTCGGAAACCCAGCAAAATAGATGGCTCTGACAATGTCGATGGAGGGATGGGAATGGAAGAATATGATGGCATGGGACTTAGACCTCCGATTTCACAACCATCGTCATCTCCCATGGCTGAAGTAGGGGGAGAACATGCAGACAAAATTGATAATGGGGTGGAATTTAGGCGCTTGCAATCGATGGTGGGATGGATGGATAGATTAATAGATGGATGGGTTTGTACTCTGCCAATCAAAAGCTCTCCGGAAAACTTTTCCTTATCTTGGTGACTTCCCGCAATCGATGATGGGGTGGAGATGGATGAATAATTGAATATTGAATAGTCAGATAGATTAATATAAAAATAGAGAGCGGGGCGTTGCAGATGGAGACAAGGTTGCAGGCGGCACTCCGCAGTAAAACATGGTTGTGAACTAAAGGCCAGTAAAGGGAGTTTCTCAATTTCATTATTTGCCCGGAGAAAAAAAATAATTATAAATTGACGGAACAAAAATTAAAAAGTTTTCATGGGCCAGTAAACAATAAATAACAAGCCCATCTAAGGCCGCAGCATAGCGCGGCTAAACTCTCCTAGTAGTGAATAAATGTCACAAAAAATTCATTCTCTGACACAATTTCGGAATTGACATAATTACCGATTTGCACGATTAGGGGTGGGTGAATCTTCTTATATATAATCTTGAAATAAAAATAAAAGGAAAAAGGAAAAAAAAAATCATCACCAATTCATTCACAAGATGAGAAATGGTACAACGAACCAATCCACAAATTTAACCGTCCCCCAAAACAAGAAGTACTCCTAGGCTTCCCCAATCTTATTAAGCCACAGTACATTAACATATAAATATAATCCATTCACAACCTTCACTTCTGCATTCCCATCTCTATCTCTCCAACACTATACAATTTAAGAATGCCCTGAGAGAAGGAAATCCAACTAAACCAGTAACAGAAATATATAGAACACAGAGAGAAGATGTGGAACGCGGAGCTTGAGAGAGACAAACTTCTCCACTTGGAGCAGAGGCTCAAGAACCACGTATTCGGACAAGACGAAGCTGTCAGGGCTGTGACCAAAGCAGTCCGTCGTTCCCGTACCGGCGTCAGAAACCCGACCCGACCCCTCGCCAGCTTCCTGTTCGCCGGCCCACCCGCTGTCGGGAAAACCACGCTCGCCAACGCACTAGCAATCGAATTCTACGAATCCAAGGATCATTTAATTCTATTCGAAATGAGCGATTACGACTATAAGGACTTTGTCTCCCAACTGACCGAATCAATCATCCGCAATCCCAGATCCGTAGTCCTCTTCTCCAAAATCGAAAAAGCCCGCCACGAATCCGGCGATGCCCTTCTCCGAATCATCGACGGCGGAACTCTTGCTGGCCGGAAGGGGCAAGCAGATTTTAGCAAAGCCATCTGTTGGGGGTGTTGCTAAGGGGCTCCCCGCAGAGACTAAGGAATACGGCGTTCAATCGACAACGTATGACGCTCTAAACCCGCTACGAGTATATAAAGGTATGAAACCCACCAAGGAGGGAGACTTCTTCCTCCTCTCCCCACTTTCCACTTTCCACTATCTCTCTACACTTTATCTCTCTACCTCATTCTCTCAACTCTCTCCACAAACCGACATCTGACTTGCTCGTCGGAGCTTAATCCGGGGGGCAACCCCGGCTCTTTCACAGGTTCTCTCCCTCCCGACGAGATCGGACGAACGGACGACGAGTCAACCCACACCAACAAATATCATTGTTCATACCGGAGTTAGATGGTTCAAACAATTGGCGCCCACCGTGGGGCTGATTCCGACATCTGTTCGTTCGATTTTGAAGGGAGAATGGAAATTGGCCGCCTCTTAACACCATTCGACAGTAGCTGGAAATCTTCTCCACCAACTGGGCGCCACAGCAGCTGCCAAATTCTTTGAAGGCCAGCCTAGTAAAAGAAAAGAGGGAGGGGCTCGACAATAAAGAGAAGATCATTTGGATCTTCACAAAAGGTTAAAGCGTTTACCACCCTCCAAAGCCGCATCGACGGCAGCGGATCTGTCCAAAAATTCACCCTCGCCGCCTTCATCAACTCCTTTGCCCACCGCCAGAAGTCGTCTCCGAGAAACGCTACCAACTGAAAAGGAGGGAAAAGACCTTGTGGTCGCTATCAATTGTCACATCACTTGCAACTTTTCCTCTAATAACACACTACCTCTACCCTCACCCATTGTCAGAAAAAGTGCACATAAGAAAAAGAGCACAAAAATCGAGAGACACAAATATCAAGGCAGATGGATGGGTTTTACTCACGGACCGCCAAGCCATCTTCAGCCACCATAGCGCGGCCTGACCCGCCCGCGTCCATATCAGCCAACCAGCGCGGGCGCCCACCAGCGCGCGGCCCGCTCTGCTTCTGGCCCAACCCCGGCCCGCGTCCAAATCAGCCCACCAGCGCACGCCCCGCTCTGCTTCTGGCCCAACGCACGGAAGCCTTCAATTCCCCGGCCCACGTCCAAATCAGCCCACCAACGCACGCCCCGCTCTGCTTCGGGCCCAACGCACGGAAGCCTTCAAAAATAATTGAAGTCGCCGCGAGGGTTCGAACTGGCGTCACTCCTCCCCGTGTCAAGCAACAATACCAGTGCGCTACAAATATTGTTTGTGGTTCGAAGGCGCAGCGCACTACTTTAAAGTTTTTCAACTTCAACTCGCGGCCCACAACACTCGCGGCCCGACTCGCAGGCGCCCCAATTCGCGGCCCGCTCGACCTTTCAGCTCGCGTCACCCGGCCCACTCGCGCCAGATGGGCCCATCACCGCTCAGTCGTGCGCGAGGCACCCAAAAATGAGGCGTGGCAGACAAGCGTCGAACCGCTGACCAACCACTCGTGTGCAAGCAAACGGAACCAGTGGACTACGTGACAATTGTTGTCAAATGAGCGCGGAAGGTTTATTTTAGCCTTTTGCTCGCGCTGCTCCTCCAACTCGCGGCCCACTCACCAAAGATGGGCAATCCACAACTCGACAACAAGCCCGCGGAACATGGTCCGCAAAGCCTACAAACAGGCGCTGAGACCACCAAAAAGAAAATGTCGCCGCCAAGAGGAATCGAACCCGCGTTCACTCTTCAGCCAGACAAGCCATATCACCAACAGACTACAGATGCGCTTGGTGATCCTTGGGCGCAGTACTCTCATATTAATGAATCCGCGCCATCACCAACTCGCGTCAAAAAGCATCATCATCGCGAGGACTCGAACCCGCGTCACCCCCACACTACACAAGCATCCTTACCAGCAGGCTACAAGCACATCTTGTGTTTCAATGGCGCGCGGCCAACTTAAAACCTCCTGCACCCTTGCTCGCGCCCAAGCGCCCTCGCGGCCCAACTCAACTTAGCCCGCCCGCCTTCTCTATTCGCGGCCCACTTCCGCTCGGCGGCTCAGTATTCGCGGCCCATCCCAACTCAACCCGCGTCCACAAGCGCAATGCACCCTTGCTCGCGCCCAAGCGTACTTGCGGCCCGCATTCAACAGGCGCACTACTTAAAAATAATGTAGTCGTCGCCAGACTTCGAACCCGCGCCACTCCTTCGACAGGCAAGCATCCTTACCAGCAGGCCACAAGTACCTTGTGTTTCAACGGTGTGGCGTCTGAATTTTAACATTCGCGCCCACTCAGTTCGCAAGAACAAAAACTTAGCAATAGTCCAGCACTATTCGCGCCTAGTTCGAAAGAACAAAAATTAGCAATAGTCCAGCACTATTCGCGCCCAGTTCCACGGAACAAAAAAATTAGCAATAGTCCAGCACTATTCGCGCCTAGTTCGAAAGAACAAAAATTAGCAATAGTCCAGCACTATTCGCGCCCAGTTCCACGGAACAAAAAATTAGCAATAGTCCAGCACTATTCGCGCCTAGTTCGAAAGAACAAAAATTAGCAATAGTCCAGCACTATTCGCGCCCAGTTCGAAAGAACAACCTGCAGGCTACCACTCAGGTTCTGTTTCAATGGCGCAGCGCCTGCCTTTCAACTACTCCTGCCGCCACTGCCAATATAAAGCTAAGTACTCTATCCCTCCATCATTATTAAATTTTTAAAATATTTTACTATCCTAAGCGTTGATGGCGCTAATGGGGGGCAAGACGCAAGAAGCTGGCACCGCGTCACTCAAACGCGCCACCAGCTGGGGGGCAACTGGGGTACATAGGCCCCACCCAAAATTACCGACAAAGATTTAAAAAAAATAAAATATAAGCTAGTGATGAGTTAAAACTCACCACCAGCTTGGGGGGCAATTGTTGGGGGTGTTGCTAAGGGGCTCCCCGCAGAGACTAAGGAATACGGCGTTCAATCGACAACGTATGACGCTCTAAACCCGCTACGAGTATATAAAGGTATGAAACCCACCAAGGAGGGAGACTTCTTCCTCCTCTCCCCACTTTCCACTTTCCACTATCTCTCTACACTTTATCTCTCTACCTCATTCTCTCAACTCTCTCCACAAACCGACATCTGACTTGCTCGTCGGAGCTTAATCCGGGGGGCAACCCCGGCTCTTTCACAGGTTCTCTCCCTCCCGACGAGATCGGACGAACGGACGACGAGTCAACCCACACCAACAAATATCATTGTTCATACCGGAGTTAGATGGTTCAAACACCATCATTGCCATGGAATTCGACATCGTGCAGCCGGAATTGATTCTCTCGTTTCGCGCAGGGAATGCGCGGCAGAGCATTTCGCATTTTCTGAGTGGCGTCTTTGGGGCCGAGATATCCAATCGGGTTGATGAGATCTTGATGTTTAACGAAGTGACGAGGGAAGATGTGGAGAAAATGGTTGACTTTATGGTCAGCGACTTCGCAAAGAGGATTAAGAGATTGGGAGAGAGGTCGATTGAAGTTGAAGTGACCGAAGGGATGAAGAATCGGGTGGTGGAAGAAGGGTACGACCCGCCGACAAGTGGCGGAGCGAAGCCGTTGAAGAGTGCGTTCGCGCGGCTGGTGGAGAATCCATTGGCTGATGCCGTTTTGGAAATGAGGACTGGAAGTGACGAATATGTTGTTGCTAGACTGGATTACCATCCTGATTTTGGCCCGTCTTTACGTATTTTATATGTGGGAGAACAGCAATATGTAAGCCGCGAATACTAGTCGTGTTCGGGAGTAAAAAAAAAAAAGATTGAAGAAGTTAAAACGAAACGTAGTCAAGATTTATGTGGTATTTTCGTTCTTGCGAAACGAGACTATTATCAGAGGAGTAAAGTCATTCTCGAGATGGGATCACAGGTGGAAAATCTATTGTACATTTCGATTACCATCCTAACTTTGCCCCCGGCTTTAGATATTTTGTATGGAGGAGAACCATACTACTACTATGGATTAAGACTAGTTGTGTTTGGTTTGTTCCTAAGTTAGTGCAACTGTGCAAGTTGAAGAATATGAAGAAACCAGAGAAGAACACTTCAAGATTATATTGTATCCAAGAATAATTCAATTTGTTTAAATCGCGACCATTACGAATCCACTTGGTCATTGGCTTGCACACTCCATCTAAGATAGGGATGATACAATAGGTCGTATTGGGGGCGGATAGTGTAAGCCCAATTCCCTAGGGAATAATTGTGGCCCAAGTGTAATTATCATTTAATGGTTTAATATATAAGGTAAATCCTATATTGATTAGGTTAATGATAGGTAAATTCCTAATATACCCTGATGATGGGTCTATATAAAGAAGCTCTAGGATTGGTCCTCTCTCAACCCATTACGTAGAATTTCTTAGCCATCACAGAAATCTCTAAACCTAAAACCTAAAGGGGTCAAGAGGGAGAAACTCAATTCCGGTGATTACTACTCCAACGGCGCCGCCGCTCTCGTCATGGATCGAGGTAGGTTTACCCGATCTATTATCGATTCGTGAAATCATCTAATTCTAAGATCCATGCTATTATGATTTATGTTTACATGTGGTATCAGAGCCTTAGGGTTTATATGAATGGATGATTTTCGATTATGTATGTTTCCCGTTGCATCATCGTGTATATGAGACCGTCATATAATTGTTAACAATGGATCCAAATTGGTCCAAGCTTTCTCGCCGATTATAATCAATTCCGCATTTGTTGTCTGTTTTATAAGCATCCGCTCGCTTGAGTTAGTGGATTGTCATATATTTGTTAACAATGGCATTTTACGAACTCTGCTTTACAAACAAAGGCTTTAATATGTTGACCCTTATAGGTTGTAATTCTAGTTTTCCTTTTAATCTGTTGGCTGATTGCTTTGGCATTAGGCTTTCTTATGTCAATCTATTATCATGAATATAATGAGCAATTAAAGACACAAGGTCTGCGTAGTGTAAATTCCATTGGATTCGGCTGTGATTATTGAAGTCCTTGTGTTTGTGATAACATGCTTGAGTTTCCCTAATAATAAATTTGATCAGTAGGCTTATGATTGACCAATTAAGTAATTATTATAATAGAATCCCATTAATAAAACAAGTTTTTGCGTATGTGTTTTGAGGATTATGATTAACAATTGCTTTGACTTGAGTTAAATTTTATCTTTGATATCTATGTTATGATTAATTTGTTAGTCACCAAAGTGGTCAAATTAGAAGGTTTATAGATATCAAGTTGAATCAAGTTCAACTACTAATGTTTATGTGATGCGTTAAAGTTGAAGTTCGTGATTATAAAATATTTTCGAATCGCCCAAAGGTTGATTGCTCGTTTTATAATTCATGAACATTATTGTGGTAAATTGATGTGCTTGGTTAGATATATTTAGTATATCCAAAGATTGCAAGTATATCTAATTTGAGTATGTCTATCACCAATTATATGATTATTTTGAGCATCAATTACGATTATTTATCGCATATATATTGTTGTTTTGCCCAAAAGTAGCACCAATATATGTTTTATGTTTTCGAATCTGTATTATAGTTTATGCTTATTACCCAAAGCATTAATGTGTGAGTACATGTTATATATGTTTGCAGCATCTGTTCCTGTTTCTCTTCATTCGCAAGCCACGTCTGTTGTTAAGTTTAATGGCCTCAACTTCTCTGAATGGGCTGAACAGGTTCAGTTTCACCTCGGTGTTCTGGATCTTGATTTGGCACTCTTAAGTGAGAAACCTGCTGCTCTTACTGATGCTAGCAGTGCTGAGGAAAAGTCTTTCCATAAAGCTTGGGAAAGATCTAACAGACTAAGCCTAATGTTTATGCGAATGACTGTAGCAAACAACATTAAGTCAACTTTCAATGATACTGAAAGTGCTAAGGAATTTATGAATTCCGTGAAAGAAAGCTCTCAATCTGAGTCTGCTGATAAGTCGCTTGCTGGGACACTGATGGGTACGCTAACCACCATGAAGTTTGATGGTTCTCGTACCATGCATGAGCATATCGTCGAAATGACGAACATTGCAGCAAGACTAAAGACCATGGGAATGGAAGTGAATGAAAATTTCCTAGTAACGTTCATCCTTAATTCCTTACCTCCAGAGTATGGCACATTCCATGTGCATTACACTACTCTAAAGGATAAATGGAATGTGCATGAGTTACAAAGCATGCTCATTCAAGAGGAAGCAAGGCTTAAGAAACCAGGAAATCATTCTGCCAATCTTGTTGGTCATAAAGGAGCTGGAAAGAAACCATGGAACAAGAATGGGAAGGGCAAGGAAGGACTATCAAAGCTTAATGAGTCATCTGCCAAAATCCACAAGAAGGAACCAAGTAAGGATATATGCCGCTTCTGTAAGAAAGCCGGACATTATCAGAAAGATTGCTTGAAAAGAAAGGCATGGTTCGAAAGAAAGGGTAAGCCTAGTGCTTCAGTATGTTTCGAATCAAATTTAACTGAGGTTCCTTATAATACTTGGTGGGTTGACACTGGTTGTACCATTCATGTTTCCAAAACAATGCAGGGATTCCTTACGACCCAAACCATAAGGCAAAATGAGAAGTTCATCTATATGGGAAACCGAGCCAAAGTTCCAGTTGAAGCTATTGGGACTTATCGTTTGGTTTTAGATACTGGTCATCATTTGGACCTTGTCAATACCCTTTATGCGCCTTCTATTTCTCGTAATTTGGTTTCGGTGTCTCAACTAGATAAGACTGGGTATTTTTGGAACATTGGAAATGGTTCTATTAGTTTGTTCAAACAGAATGTTTTATTGGGTTCTGGTACCCTTGTTGATGGTTTGTACAAACTAAAGCTTGATACCCTATTCGCTGAGACTCTCTTAACCTTGCATCATAATGTTGCTATTAAACGTGGTTTGTTTGATGAATCCTCTGCTTACTTGTGGCATAAACGGTTGGGTCACATATCCAAAGAAAGAATGGAAAGGTTAGTAAAGAATGAAATCCTTCCTAATTTGGATTTTACTGACCTTGGAATTTGTGTTGAGTGTATTAAAGGAAAACACACAAAACACACACTTAAGAAAGCAGCCACAAGAAGTTCACAGCTCCTTGAAATTATACACACTGATATTTGTGGGCCTTTTGATGTTCCATCACTTGGTGGAGAAAAGTATTTCATTACCTTTATCGATGATTTTTCACGTTATGGATATATCTATTTGCTACATGAAAAATCTCAGTCGGTAGATACCCTTGAGGTGTTTATCAATGAAGTTGAGAGGCAATTAGAAAGAAAGGTGAAAATTGTCAGATCTGATAGAGGTGGAGAATATTATGGAAAATATGATGAAAGTGGACAGTGCCCTGGTCCATTTGCTAAGTTCCTAGAAAGACGTGGTATTTGTGCTCAATACACTATGCCAGGAACACCGCAACAAAATGGTGTTGCAGAAAGGCGGAATCGTACTTTAATGGATATGGTTAGGTGCATGTTAAGCAACTCATCTTTACCCAAATCATTGTGGATGCACGCTTTAAGGACCGCTGTGTATTTGTTAAACAGGGTTCCTAGTAAAGCAGTTCCTAAGACACCTTTTGAACTGTGGACGGGAAGGAAACCCAGTTTAAGGCACCTGCATGTTTGGGGTTGCCCAGCGGAAGTGAGAATATATAATCCACATGAGAAGAAACTGGACTCACGAACAATCATTGGTTTTTTCATTGGTTATCCAGAAAAATCTAAGGGGTATCGATTTTATTGCCCTAACCATAGTACAAGAATTGTTGAAACTGGAAATGCTAGGTTCATTGAGAATGGTGAAGTTAGTGGGAGCTTAGAGCCACGCAATGTGGAAATTCAAGAAGTTAGAGTGCAAATATCCTTGCCTCTACCCTCTTCTCAAGTTGTTGCTCCTGCACATGTTGAGCATGATAACGATTTGCAGGAACAACAAATGAACGGTCAAGCACCACCTAATATTGCTATTGAGAATGAACCTAACATAGATGAACCACAAGAAATTGCATTAAGAAGGTCTACAAGAAATCGAAGGCCTGCAATTTCTGATGATTATGAGGTTTATCTTCACGAGTTAGAATCTGATTTAGGACTCTATCATGATCCAGTTTCATTTTCACAAGCCATGGAAAGTGAGCATTCTGATAAATGGTTAGCTGCCGCGAAAGAAGAGATGAAATCTATGTATAAAAATGAAGTTTGGGACCTTGTTGATTTGCCTGAAGGTTGTAAAAGAGTTGGTAATAGATGGGTCTGGAAGACCAAACACGACTCTAATGGCAATATCGAAAGACACAGGGCCAGACTTGTTGCCAAAGGTTTCACTCAGAAAAGTGGTGTTGACTATAAAGAGACATTTTCACCCGTCTCTAAGAAAGACTCCTTAAGGATTGTCATGGCAATGGTAGCTCATTATAATCTAGAGCTCCATCAGATGGATGTGAAAACCGCCTTTCTGAATGGGAATTTAGATGAAGCAGTCTATATGGATCAACCTGAAGGTTTTGTGGTTGAGGGAAAAGAACATATGGTGTGTAAATTAAAGAAGTCAATATACGGACTTAAACAAGCTTCCCGACAATGGTATATTAAGTTCAATGATACCATTACATCTTTTGGATTTAAGGAGAACATCGTCGATCGATGTATATATCTGAAGATTAGTGGGAGTAAGTTTATAATTTTAGTTCTGTATGTTGACGATATCTTGCTTGCTACTAATGATCTTGGTTTATTACATCAAACCAAGGA